CGCGGGGAGGGGGGGGGTACACGGGAGATGGCGTGCAGAGAGTACGGTACGTTGGAGCAAGCCATGATGACACGGAGAGGGAGCCCACAGAGGAAACCACGTAAGGGGGCTACGAGGGTAGCGCGACATGATACAAGCATGGAAGCATAAAGGGTCGCAAGGCAAAAGCTGTGTACTCCGATGGGTGGGGAGCGAAGACGTCAGGGACACGTTTGAGGAAAGGGGGCGGTAGAAGACAATTAAACAAGCCATACAACGGAAAGAAGAAAAGGCAAATGACGAGAAGAAAACCAAACGGGAGGAATACGAAGATACCCCTTGCTTTCCATGCGCGCGCCTTACCCTTATCCTCTAGGTGCCTTACCGTAGGTGGCATGATGTAAGATAACACACCCCTTGAACGGATTTACAAAGCTCGATTACTCCACAACATACATGATGGCTATTATGTAATACAACTAAATGATACATTTTCGGAAAGCGCTCGACGACACGGATCCAACGCCACAATTGTCGGCACCGCACCGCCGCTGGTTTTGCTGCGAGTAACCGAGCTTTGAAAAGCGGTCCGGGGGGCGTGGTATCTCACATCATGCAACCTACGGCACGTGGGTGTCGTCACCCAAAAACAGGAGAAGCCTGCCACCACACCTCGACGTAGATCTCACCGGTCGACGACGTAGATCTCGCCGGTCCCATACAATATTCATGATTTGACTCCATCACAATATTTTGCGATTTGGACCCGAAGTACATCTCGCCGGCCGATCAGATCTCGCCGGTCCCATACAACATTCACGATTTGACTCCATCACAGCAGTATCTTGCGATTTGAATCTACCCTCAACACAACGTTTTTACACACATTCCTACCAAATGTCCCGAAAGGCTCCCTACTGCAGCTCCTCCAGCATCGTTTCTACGGCAGAAAATAAAGGAAATAGCGTATTACATTACGCACCAGGGTCGAGGAAGGAAGAGAAAACGAGCGACACGAAGCACCCCGTGCACAGACAGGCCGCCACCATGGCGAAGCTCCACCGCCCGTACGAGGGCAGGCTGCAAAGGTAGTGCGGCCGAGGGGGGACAAGCGGCGGGACGAGAGAGAGACGACATCGCACCACGTAGGAGGGAAAGAGGGAAGGGGTGAAGGCCAGACCCACACAGCAGCAGTGCGAGTGGCGGAGCTAACAACACGACCACAGGCGACATAGGGCGGTGGACTGGGCCGGCGGTAATCACGGAGCCGGCAACAGAGGGGATTTTTGCGTGTGGCAATGGCCCCACCTCGCTATTTAGCACCGGGCAGGATTTGAGCTAGCATGCGCGTTCGGGTTCTCCAAAACAAGTAAACACAGACGTCCTCACGAAGGTGCACGTGTGCTAAAGTACGGCGGTGGCCATATCTGTGGCCAAAAGCGGCGTTGACAAACAGACTGACTACCAGAGCGACTACTACCACAGCGATAGCCTGCTTTCCGGTCGACAAACAGACTGACTACCGCAGCGATTGCTACCACAGCGATTGCTACCACAGCGATTGCCTGCTACAATGAACGGTGCCAAGAGCCAAGGAAAACTCAACTTCCCGTCGTGGCGGACTCACATGAAAACGAAGAACAAGAGCCAGGTGAGGAAGAGAAGCATCGTCGTCGTCATCAGCTGCCGGTAGTGCACCCCGAGCATAATTCGACCTGAAGGCCAGGGAAACCGAAGGACGAGGACAACGACAACAGCACAGGCACATGATTAATCGCATGTCGTCGGCAAGCAACGAGCACAACAGACGCCGTTGGCGTCAAAACTCTTCGGTCGTAGGACACGGCGCGGGCACCGAGGTGCGCAAACCTTCAACAGCCGATCAGAACCTCTCACTTGGTGCCAAACCGCGACTGGTCTTCCCCACCGACGCAAAGGCGTCAGCGGTTTCTGCAACATCCCACACACCAGCGGCAGTATGTACCGTGACAGTCAACGGGGGCAAATGCCTGCAACAGGACCAACGAAATCCAGCATACACGACCCCGCCCCCCCCTTTACCTTCTCCTACTATCTCACGTGCTCTCATATGACACGATGTTTTCAAACATGGCACACAGACCTGCAACAGCATTCGGACCAAGCAAGAGCTACCACCCCCCATCCCCCTCCCCCGCGACCCCCCCCCCTGGGTCCCCGTGCCCCCCCCGCGAAAAACGCCCCACCTTCGCAAAAGAACTTGTTGTTGCCTCTCCACCGCTGCCACCTCTTCTTCGGCGAGCCGCCGGGGGAGATCGGCACCCCCTGTCCCTCCTCCGAGGGCCTGTTGTGCGCCCCAGCTGCGATGCCCCCGAACGAGTCCCGCGCCTGTCGCAATGACGAGCGCGTACAGTATGAATCACACGGGATATGGTCGGACAGATGCACCCCAAAAATAACGCACGGGACGTTCGAGTAGCGTGTTGCCCCTCCCCCCCCCCCCCCCCCCCCCCCCCCCCCCC